CCCGTTGATTCCTTAAAGACCCACAACGAAATCCATCATGACATGCTCCCACTTCCACTCGGCTATGGGCAAGGGTTGCAACAAACCCCGCTGGCCTCTGATGCTCGGTTTTCACTTGTTGACAAGTAAGGCACCTTGAAACAAACAAGGCTATGCCTCTCTTCATCCCCGTCCACCAAAACTGGCGACTAAGGTCATGGTATATCTTTGTACCTCCCGAATGTACAGCAAGGTGCGAATGGTGGAACTCTCAGAGTACCTCCTCCATACACAACTCTGGCACAAAAAGATGCTCAAGAAATCTAACACTCAAGTCAAAATACACATTCAAGCCCTTCTCTACCTTCCCACTAGATATCTTCTCCCGGAGGGTTTCTACCTCATGATCACCCCATTGTGCATCTATAACTTGGCTTACAAGTGTAGGTTGTGCAACTTAGTAAACAAAGCTACCAACTCAACAGACTGGCCAAGATACATGTCAAACTTGCCAATAGCGTCCAACATCTCCCATTCCCCAGATGGCAATACTAGTTACACTGCTGATGTAGTTTCTACTCAAGGTAACGACCACTACATTGGTCTTCCTCGGAAGATAATGTAACTCGAAGTCGTAATCCTCCATAAACTCCATCCACCTTCTCTGCCTGAGATTCAAATCTTTCTGTGAAAACAGATATTTCAGACTTTTGTGGTTAGAAAATACCTCAAATCTTTCACCATAAAGATAATGTCTCCAGATTTTCAAAAGCAAAACTCACTGCTGCTAGTTATAAGTTGCGAGTAGGATAGTTTCTCTCGTGTGTTTTCAACTACCGTGAGCCATATGCTACTGCCTTCCCTTCTTGCATCAAGACATAACCCAAACCTTCCCAAGACGCATCACAATACACTGAATAGTCCAAATCCCTCTCTGGAATAATCAACACTGGAGCAATGGTAAGTCTAACCTTAAGCTTTTGTAATGATTTCTCATAAGTCTCACTCCATACAAACTTAATTCCCTTTCTCGTCAGTCTAATCAAAGGTGAGGCTAATCTAGAGAAATCCTTCACAAAGATGTTGGTAATACCTAGCTAATCCCAAGAAACTCCAGATCTCAAAGGCATTCTCAGGTTGTTCCCAATCTTGTACTGCCTCTATCTTAGAAGAGTCAATAGTCATCCCTTCCCCAGATTCCACATGGCTTAAGAATTTCACCTCTTTCAACCATAACTCACACTTCCCGAACTTAGTATACAATTTGTGGGCTCTAAGTAACTCAAGTACAATCTGCAAGTGTTCCTTCTTAGAGGGTGAGTCAATCAAGATGTCATCAACAAAGACAACCACAAAACAATCTAAAAACTCATGAAAGATTCAATTCATCAAATCCATAAACAAGGCCAGTGCGTTGGTTAGCCCAAAAGGCATTACTAGAAACTCAAAATGGTCATATCGCATACAGAATGCTGTCTTTTGGATATCCTCCTCCTTCACTCTCAACTAGTGATAACCCATGTGGGAGCCGAATAAGTAGAAGAGTCGGAAGATGCGTACTCTAGAAATTATATACTATCCGGCTTCATATTGCGTGACTAGGATGCCGAATACGTTAGGAAAGCCGAATAGACGGAGGTCAGTGGCTCTGAATGAATAAAAGGGGAATGAGATAAAAGTAGGCTCAGGCCTCGAGGCCCAAAAAGCAAGTATAAATACAAGAACCATAGATTTAGAAAGGTATGTAAGAATCATTTCACTAAATTTGGGAAACAAGCTGTTCTGAGTGTCTGAACTAACTTGTCCGTCAGAGTGCTAATTCCGGCACCCCCGACCGGAGTGTTTGTGTCTTTTCAGGTGACTAGCTGAGGATCACTAGCGTCTCCCAGGATCTGAAGAGTATTTCCAAAACCATTTCTCCACAACCCAATCTCAAGTCTATCTTAGAAAAGCAACAAGGCCCCTTCAATTAATCAAACAAGTCATCTACACATGGTAGTGGGTACTTGTTCTTAACAGTTACCCAGTTCAACTTTTGGTAATCAATACAAAGTCACAATGTGCCATCCTTCTTCTTGGCAAAGAGAGTTGCTTCTCTAAGATGAAGTACTAGGGTGGATAAAACCTTTATCTAGCAATTCTTAGAGTTGAATCCTTAACTCACTCAACTCGGCAGGTGCAAATCTATACGGTGCCATCGAAATCGGTGCCGTGCCAGGCACTAAATCAATAGAGAACTCAATCTAACGGTGAGGTGGCAAACTAGTGAGATCCTTGAGAAAGACGTCTAGGTAGTCACAAACTACCATTAGCAACTCTACTCGGACCACACCACTCTCAACACCCAAGCAAGTAGCAAGAAGAAGACTAAGCTCACCCCGACCACTAGGATCATATACTGGCAACAAGGCTCTATCAACTCGGTCCCCCAAGAAATAAAAATAATCACCACTCGAGGTGCAGACCATGACTCTCTAATGGTAACAGTCTATAATGGTCCGATAGATTGACAACCAATCCATGCCCAAAATGATGACAAAACTCAACATACTAATGAACACAAAGACAAAAAAAAGTCGACGACCGGAAACATCTATCTCACAACCTCGACACCCCTAGTCTAACACAACCTCACCACCAACAGCTGACTCTACCCTGAGTAGAGATACAAATTCAGCCACTTCTAACCCTGGGATGCATTAGTATCAATCAACACATTGGCAATATAATTACATAACAAGAAGTTACCTCTCACTTCCAAAGGTGCTGGCAACAAATCTGGCATGGTAACATCATACACACGCCCTATGGGTCTCTGCTCTACCTGTTCACCCCTCTGAGTATAAGTCTGAAACACTGATTGAGCTGAAGAGGCTTCCTGAGTAGCCCTCGAGGCTTGTGCTGATGGTGTAGGCTGATGGCTCTGTGTTTGCCTCAAACCAGATGCACCAGATATGGCACCTTACTGAGGACAAAACCTCCTTATGTGCCCTGACTGCCCACACTGATAACAAGTAGGCAGTTTCCCTCTTTCCTGACTCTGGCTCTAAAGGCGAGCCGACGACGATGCAGACTGTCGCCCTCCCCTCATCTACAGGCAAACTAAAGACTTGTGGCCCAGCTGACCACACTTAAAGCAAGTGATCCCTCCCTGACCACCTCTCCCAGAACCCGAACTCGATATAGGAAAAGTGGATCTAGACAGTGCTTCTTGGGACTGCTGTGGGGTGGAACCCCTCTGCCTCTTATTGTCCCAAGTCTCCTCCTGAACCTCTTGACTCCTCTACTTGGAGCCCCTCATTAGCTCCTCCTCTTACTAAACCATGGTCTCAAGATGAGCCGCCGCCTCTGCAAGGCGTTTGTAGTTCCTAATCATAGACCCAACCACTTTGAAAAGAAGCCCAGTCCTCAACCTCTTCTCGAACTCAATACAACGACGTTCCTCCGTTGCTACGAGTTTCGGTGCAAACCTCGACAAACTAGTAAAGGCAGCTTCAAACTCAACCATTGGTGTGTTTAACTATTTAAGCTTCAGAAACTGCTCTCTCAACTTCTCCGTAGTAGTGGAAGGCAAAAACTAGTCTTGGAAGGCGTTGACTAAGGCCTCTGAAGTCACTCCAATGCGCTCATGTGCATACTTTCACCACTGACCTACTTCTTCCTTAAGCTGGAAGGATGCCATGGTCATTCTCAGCCCATAGTCCTCGATGTCAAGCATCTCAAGCGTCTTCACCATTTGCTCTAACTGCTCATCTGCCTTCAGTGGCTCCTTCGAATCCCCCTAAAAACTCATTTGGATTCGAGATCGGAAGAACTTCCTCTTCAGAAAGGACAGCCCTATCTTAATAACATGGGCCTAGACTTGATTCTCAGCTCTGACATTGTCCATGGATTCCCACAAGGCTTCGCCTATCTCACAGGCTAAAGCACCTATAGCCTGTTAACCAACTAGTTTGGCCACATTAGCTTAACCAATCCCTTCCTCCTGCATCAGAATATCATCCAATAATGGCATCTCCTACTGTCCAGGCCTGCCATGCCTACTACCACCACGTCCACGTCTTGACATCCTAATGAAGGTAATACAAGAGATTAGCACATTTTCAAATGTGCTGAAGCTAATTGACTCGCGTCCTAATAAGATGGACAAGAATTAATCACTACAAGAATTAACACTTTTGGCAACAAAAAAATTGGTCGCTAAAAGTCTATTTTTGGTCGGCAAAAGTTATCCGCGACCAATTTTTTGGTTGCTACTTTCGTTGCCAATTGAGGGTCGGCAAAAGTAATTCGCGACCAAAATTTTGGTTGGTCGGCAAAAGTTAGATTTGCCGACTAAATTTTTTGTCGCTAAATATTTAATTACCGCGACTAATTCATTTTGTCGCTAAAACACTTTGGTCGCAAAAAGTGATCTTTTCCCGACCAAATATCTTAGTTGCCAATTGACACATTTCGCGACCAAAAAGTTTTGTCACCAATTTAGCACATTCCACGACCAAAAAAATTTGGTCGCCATTTGTTACTTTTCGCGACCAAAACTTTTGGTCGGCAAAAATAAGTTTCCACGTCCAAGAGCTGTTTTGGTCGGCAATAGATGTATTTTTTGCGACCAAAACTCTTGGTCGACAATTGTCATTTTTTGCGAAAAAAAATTATTTATTTGTCGCGACTAATAAATTGGTCGCCAAAGCAGGAAAACGATACACCTGTAATTCCTAATAATTCATTCAATCCATAATAAACCTATAATTTTAAAGCGTCATTCAAATTAACTGAATCATTAACATTCGACACAATATGGATTTCATTAAAATCTGTAATGCATAGCTACAAATTGTCATATAATGCTCGCTTTGTAAGTCTTGCTCAGCTAGAAATTGACAAGAACAAAACATAGAAAATACATAGCTAGAAACATTTCTTCATTGAAGCTACCCTTTCAGCGGAGAGCTGCTGTTTCCTTTCAACAGGTTTAGGAAGCTGTTCTGGGTCATCATTTTTCTTCTTCTGAAGCTTGTATTCAGCAATCATTTTCATACCTTCAATAGTGAGCGTAGGTTGTTGAGCACCACAACCCCCTTGACTCTTCTTAACTGGTTCATCAGTAGCTTGACCTTGGGTGTCAATTTCATTGGTATGACCTTGTTGCATTGGTATGAGATAACTGATATGAGGCTATTAGATCAGTACAATAGTGACATTTATCACAAAATAATAAATTATAGGCATAATTTTATAAGGAAAATAAAGTGTAGAATGTAAATTTAAAGTTAGTGATTGAGGGTTATACAAAGAATAAATCTTATACGTATATTTTAATTCTGGGTAATTTTTTTGAATATGCAACATAAGTGAACAAAATATGATAGAATAATGTCATCCTTATAATATTATACAATCCAATATTAAAACCATAGTACACAAAACACCAGTGAATCCCAATCTGCAATTTACCCACCACTAAAATTAAGCTGAGTAACAACACATTGATTATTTATTTTATTTATTTATTTTTGCGCTTTCTATTTTAAGGATCTAGAAAACTATTCAAAACAAAAACACATACCAGGCGAAGAAGGAGCACCAGGAGTAGAGGGAGAAGAGGTGACTGCATACAAAACAGAAAATCCAATAACACATCATTATGAAAAATATATTTATTTTTTGTGTAGAGAGAGATAGGTTCGATCACTCACGATCACAGCTGGTCAGTGATGGTGGAGTGGGGATCTTACAAACAGAAGGTATGGCCTTAGCCTTTTTGAAATCAATGTTAAAACCCAAACTAGCACTGCTCTTTAGGCCTTCACATAAGCAATCTGCATCGGTGTCTAACACCGTCTTAAGTCCAGTGCAACACGTGTCTTCCGGCTTTGTTTCATTACTTCCAACTGTCAAATATGTCAGACAATCAGACATGCCGTATATCAGAGTGGTACAATCCACGCTGGGTGCCGGAGCCCCTCGCTCTGTTGTTGGAGGAGGTGGGGATGTTTTTGGTCTGGAAAGCATTTCCTTCAATATACCTGTGACAACATTTAATCAGTTAGCATTTGACCTAGTGTTGGGTAACTGTAATTTGCTTGTAGTGATTGAAGACAGAAACTCACATTTCTTTCAAGAAAGTGTGCTTATAGAATGCATCCGGGATTCTCCCAGTAAATTGATTATGATCCAGGTACCTGCAATGAAAGCAAGCTTAAGATGCTGTCCCATGCCTACACAAAAAAAGATGTTGTCCCAGATACACAAATGCTACATGATGCAAAAAAAGGGGAAAAGCAAATTAAAGAAGGGAAAAAAAAGGCATTACTTGTGATAAAAACAACAGTTAAAAGCCATGAATCAAAGCCATAAGGGATGAAGAAATCTTCTCAATATTGAAGATTGGGTCACAGATGTCAAGGAACGAAACAAAGTGTATCGATGAAATAGGAAACCTAACTCAACCTTGGTTCCACTAACAAACTTGTCCTGCAAATCCAAATACCTTGGGTGTCAATTTCATTGGTATGACCTTGTTGCATTGGTATGAGACAACTGATATGAGGCTATTAGATCAGTACAATAGTGACATTTATCACAAAATAATAAATTATAGGCATAATTTTATAAGGAAAATAAAGTGTAGAATGTAAATTTAAAGTTAGTGATTGAGGGTTATACAAAGAACAAATCTTATACGTATATTTTAATTCTGGGTAATTATTTTGAATATGCAACATAAGTGAACAAAATATGATAGAATAATGTCATCCTTATAATATTATACAATCCAATATTAAAACCATAGTACACAAAACACCAGTGAATCCCAATCTGCAATTTACCCACCACTAAAATTAAGCTGAGTAACAACACATTGATTATTTATTTTATTTATTTATTTTTGCGCTTTCTATTTTAAGGATCTAGAAAACTATTCAAAACAAAAACACATACCAGGCAGAGAAGGAGCACCAGGAGTAGAGGGAGAAGAGGTTACTGCATACAAAACAGAAAATCCAATAAGACATCATTATGAAAAATATATTTATTTTTGTGTAGAGAGAGACAGGTTCGATCACTCACGATCACAGCTGGTCAGTGATGGTGGAGTGGGGATGTTACAAACAGAAGGTATGGCCTTAGCCTTTTTGAAATCAATGTTAAAACCCAAACTAGCACTGCTCTTTAGGCCTTCACATAAGCAATCTGCATCGGTGTCTAACACCGTCTTAAGTCCAGTGCAACACGTGTCTTCCGGGTTTGTTTCATTACTTCCAACTGTCAAATATGTCAGACAATCAGACATGCCGTATATCAGAGTGGTCCAATCCACGCTGGGTGCCGGAGCCCCTCGCTCTGTTGTTGGAGGAGGTGGGGATGTTTTTGGTAGAGGGTTGCTTGGTGGAGGTGGGGCTGTTTTTGGTGGAGGGTTGATTGGTGGAGGACTAGCTACATCAACACAATGAAAACAATCATGAGTTGGATGAAGTGCTAATTACACAGAATTTATAAATACTAAGAAAATTTAATGTGCAATTCCAAATTATATAAAAGTTGAAAATCAATCAAGGATTTTAAATAGCCATAGAATCAATTAATTTTAAACAAATAAAAAGATATATACCAGGCGAAACAGGGGGTTGTTAAAGCTTTTTTTTTGGAGAAAGGTAAGATCTGTCTAAGGTTAATGGTGATAGTTCCATCTATACACACCTTTTCTGGGGCTAAGTCAATTCCTAAATTCCCGCGAGAGAGGATAACACCATCTGCTTCCTGAAGGATCTCATCAAAATGTCTCAATCCCTGGCAAAATATAGAGCAATGTACATGCAATCGGTTTATCCATCCAACATTAAAGCACTACAGTTGCAATTATATAACAGCAAAATAGAATATATCATTACCTTCAGGAATTCAATTATAATGTCAATGCCTAGCTTACCTCCACTGTCTCAATTTTGGCAAATATCTGAGTTTCATGAAGATTATGAGCTTTAATGAAAGCTCTGAGCTGTTGAAAATAGAAAATGTGAAATTAGCTCTAGATATACATCTAATTAACAGAACAACATTGGCATGGTTTGAAAACTCAAAAACATGGCAGTTTCTATGAATATTGCTAGCTCCAACAGAAATGAACACATCCTCAATCAGGTATTAATAAATATTTGACTTGACAAGTTACAGGGACTTAGCAGAAGAAGTACTTGCTTCAGTAGATGTCTCAACGTAGGAAGATAAAGTATCATGATCTCATATTTGTAGTATGCCAATTGCTATGTGATATTCACCAGTACTAGTTCACTAGTTGCACCTAAATCAATATAGAGTGTAGCGCAAATAGAACTGCAATACACTTAAAAAGTGCCTGCTGCAGAGTTTTTACCAATTATTATTACAGATTCAATAGGGAAGGCCACTCAACCATTGAAAAAAGTTTGTTAAATTCCCCTGAAATAAGCATTTTTTTGAAACTTGAAACATAATTCTAGTAATTTTCTGAAGTTTCAGAAATCTACTTCCATTGGCAATTGACAATTATTAGAAAACATATTTTCTTTTTCTTTTTCTTTTTTTGAATAAAATTTTTTCATGATTTTGATTGATCAATTGAAAGGGTTTCAAAATTTTCATTTTTTGAAAATGACATCAAGCCAACCACATAGATCCAAAATCTAGTCAAACACTTCCAATTGCTACTGCTCTACTCTGCTCTGCCTCAATTGATTCAAACAAAAACAAAAAAATTAAAAATAATATTTTAGTCAACGAAAGAAGCATTACAAAGCATCCATGGCAGTTATGTAACTGAAACCTATCCACTCATCAAGCAATGGACCAAGGCTTAGAATACCAGCTGGTATGTAGCACGCCAGCTGGTTTGAATTGGTTTTTGGCCCTTCACCCCGGTACACCATTGGGATAAAAAATCACATGTGAACCAACCATTTTACAACACATTGACTTGAACTGGATAAATTATCAATTCCTTAGCAAACCGGGCCAATTCAACAACATAGCGATCTTTATTTATAAAAAGATTTAATGCTTTAGACCACTTAACTCAAGGGGCTGACCATTCAAAAGCCCACCCATACTTGGTGTTATTCCATAGCCCATGGTTAAAATTAATTTGACCAATTGATGTGCGATATAGAACCATACACATGACAGATTGCCGAACCTTTTTTTATTGGATGTAAAAAAGAAATGTATATTAATTTGACCAAGTACTGCCATGGTTGTATTAGAAACATCAACATCAAGGCAAACATTATAAGCTATGCTGAAATGTGTACCAATTGGGTTTGACAAAAGAACTTTAGCAAAGGCCAGTAAAATACTTATATAGCACATTCAGATGCCCATTTATTATGAATATTTTAAGTCTGGGAGAAACATGAGTTTCTTCCACCAAGGAAGCTTAGCATCTTGCATTGTAATCAAGGCATCACCCAACAGAGCCGCCAACCACATAACAGACAGGTTAGGAAGTCAAGAACTAAATAGACAACTCCTTGAGAAGGAAAAGATAAAATGTAAATTGATGACAATTAGTTGATCTAATGGAAAATTAATAGTATGGCTAGATATCACATATGAAAAATGAGAAATTTTCTAATGTAAATAGCGCAACTGGGTGAGGAATAAGCCTATAAAACTGGGCGTAACTTTGTTTATAAAACCACCAAAAGAGAAAAGAGCCACAAAACAAGTTATCAAGCTGGACAAGCAAATACCTAGCATTCTAACCCACATTTTCACATTTCATAAAGTTAATATTAACAGCCCAAATTTTATTCTAAGCAAAACAGGATATTTCTCTCCCATCAATAACACACTTTTTTTCTTTCAATTGCATCGACAAAACACTTTATCACACTAATTTTGTAGTTTTAAAACTGTATTCTTGACTAGTTAAATTTTGCTATTGAAGTTTGAGAACCATTTCCCCGAACAAACTGGAACTTTGCTCTTAACCTTAAAATGGGGGGATTCAGCTAATATTTATGCAGACTGTCCAATAGGATAAAAAGTAGAGTGTTCATTCATTCCAAAGAACAGTGTCATTGCAGGATGCTTTAGGTCAATTAAGAAAAGTTAGTGTAATCCTTTGTGCACATTCCAATGATGCTATTGGCACGAACCAACCAAACAACACAGTTTCATTACAAACCCTACCTCTTGGAACGCTTTGGGTCAATAAGAGCAAGCTTAGCAAGCTTAACAGCAGACATGGATTTCTTAGAATCAGCTACAGATGCCTCTTCTGAACCTGACATGAGCATCTCAGGCTTAATTGTAGTCGACCCATCCATCGACTGGCTATGCTGATGTCTAACTCTGGGCCTCTCACTAAAAGAAGGGGCCACATTCTCAGTAGGAGAAGTTGCTGAAGCTGGAGTTCGTGCAGCTGCTGCAGAAGATGGCTCACCAACTTGGAAGGCAGATGTTGCTGAGGATGAATTAAATTTATCCATGTCAAGGTACATAGAAAGCAAATCTTCTTCAGTCTCATCAGACAACGAAGGTCCATCCAAACCACCCACAACACCAAGATCACTATCAAAGCTAATGTCATCAGGAAGAGTAAGAATTTCCGAATGGGCACGCCGATGGCCCTTATTCTTTGGCGGGTTATCGGGCATTCGGCTAATATCATGACTAAAATGGCTAGAATCCATAGGAATCCCATGACCAAAATGACCCGTTTCTGAACTACCCCCAGGTCCTAGTGGAGGCAATGTTGATGATGCCATAGGCTCTGATTTCGTATTGAAACTGTTACCCGGAGGAGAAAAACCCAAATACCGTCCTAACGGACGCAGAAAACCCCCACCATGGTTGGGGGACTTATCCTTTTCCATCTACGAAAATCTCCAAATCCTAGTAGCCCAGACACAAACTGCAATGACCACAAAAGACAGAATTGATTATTCTTTTTCAATCAAAGCAAAACCCTAAGAAAAAAGGTAGCTTTACAAGTCTGAGGTTTCAAAAAAACACAAACCAAATTGATTGATGTTTCTTCTAGATTTAACAAATGGGTACACAATAAAAAGCTCAGACAAGCTCAGAAAACCCTCTAAACAGAGAGCGCACATAAACCCTAGAAAGCAAAGATGGGTTCTTGAAACTCCGAAAATGGGGGCATCCGAAATCAATAGGTTCTGAAAATAAAACCTTAAAATTACACACACTCAATGCATGGTAGATCCCCAAAACCCTAGAAAAGAAAGATCCAAGAAAGATCCGAGAGATGTATGAACTTGAAACAAAACGAACAATCACAGAAGTGAAATCACATTCAATAAGGGAATGAAAACCCAAGAAATCAAAATCAAAATCAAAATCAAAATCAAAGAGAGATGAGTGAGGAGAATGGGAAATTCAGGTAAGTTGAGGCATGAGGGAGAGAGAGAGAATTGACAAAATTCTTACAGATTATTTTCCAAAGCTAATTAAATTGATAAAATTGGTGGTCTTCCAAAAGGGAATCGATGAGAAAGCGAAAGTCAATAGACAGCTTTTACATCGAATACATGAATCACCTAATCACATGGCTTCAGAGAGAGAAAGAGAAAGAGAGATCGAGATCTGAGTGAGTGAGATATCTCTGTAAATTGAATGCACAAACTATAAAATTCAATCAAGTTCTATATCCTAAAACCCATTATCATATATATGATAAACTCAAACACAAAACTCACAAGTTCTCTCCATTAAAGTCATGAGCGAATTTGGGGAATGAGAGATCGATTTCAAATTTCCCTAGCATCCCTCCGATTCAAAGTGATGATAAAAACTCATAAGTGCACACTCAGATTATCTCAAATCGTGACAAATCAAACATGATATAGAAAGAAATAAAGACGCCATTGATTGAAGATCCAAGAGAGACTCCGAATGATTATTTGTCAGCAACCAAACATGTGAAAAATCAAGAACGAAATAAAGAGCAAGATATTGATTACCAGATCAAGACGCCATTGATTGAAGATCCAAGAGAGACTCCAAATGATTGATTCAATGTGCCTAGGGTTCGAATCGAACGCAAAGACGAGAGAGAGAGAGTGGTTCGGTGTTGTTTGTTCGCTTGTCTCGCACCTATTTCAAAGAGAGATGGGAGAGGAGAAAATGAAAATGTGTGAGCTAACAGATTGCTAAAGATAAAAAATTTCAATTCCCGCCCCACGTTTCAAATTTTCCTCCCAAATTTTTAGTGACCAAAATACCAGATTAGTCGCAGAAACGGTACCTTTCGCCGACAAAATTTTTTAGTTGCCAAATCTCAATCAACAGCGACTAAAATATTAGCCGCTAAAAGTGCTAATTTGACGACTAAATTTTTTTGGTTGCTGAAAATAAGTTTTTGGCGACCAAATTTTTGGTCGCCAAAAAAAATGTCACCTTCCGCGACCAAATTTGTAGTTGGTAGTCAAAAGCATACCACTTTCTACGACCAACTCTTTTTTTGGTCGCCAAAATATAACCTTCTGCGACCAATAATATTTGGTCGCCAAAAATAATGATCATTCGCGACTAATTAATATTTGGTCGCCAAATGTCATTTTTTTGCGATCAACATTTTTTTGGTCGGCAAAAGTGGTCGCCAAATGAGTAAATTCTTGTAGTGAATTCACTCCACATAAGCACATAGTTACGTAAACATATACGAATTTCCTTTCTAGATAATGATTGTCCCGCGACGTTGCCAGAGTTCTAGTTAGAAATAGCAGTGATCAACTACTCTTCTAACAAGACTTCTAGAAACTCGTAGACCCAATCGATATCTTAGAAATTAAATCCCATACCCATTTAGTCACATAAGCATGTTATCACATAGCATATTAGGTTTACTTCTAACATAAACTAGCAAGATAACTCATTGAGGAAAAAACCACATCTTACGATCCCAAAGTATTCAAAAACGGTAGCTCTGATACCAAGTTGTAACGCCCCGAAAATAATAACCATAATTCATTCCATGATATTAATGAAATAATAACACAATTCTGAATATAATATCCTTCAATTCATATGATCACATTGTACAAAAAGTAACATATGCAGTTATACATTCATAAGCCTTAACCCTAAATCTATAGCATGTGCCATAAGTTAATGATTTGAAATAAAAGTTAAACATATAAATAAATGCCCTAGTGGCTACAACTTTCCAAGACATTGCTTAGTTACAACAAAAGTGAGTTTAAACTCAATACAAATAAAGCCCTGGGCTTATACAAAACAATTACAACAATAACAAAAAGAAACTCTTGGCTCCAAGTCCTCCCAAGCTATGGCCTTGACGGAGGCATATCATGAGCACCTAAAAATGGTTTTCCACATAGGATGAGCCAAAACCCAGTAGAGCTACTCTAACACAGTGTATGTTTTGCTCGTGTCAAAATGTTTTATATGAATGCATATGCGTTGCTCGTGTCAAATGGTTTTCCACATGAGTGCATATGCGTTGCTCGTGTCAAAACATTTTATATCTCTTTCTAAAACCATACAATGCCAAATTGTATCACACTTCATTTTATATCTCATTTCATTTACAATGGAAAACAGGGTAGGGGATACAATACTGGGAATCCCTAGGTACATGTCTGCAAGTAGGTTATACAAGCATTACCCATTGCCATTTTTATCGGTACTAACCAGAAGGCTTAACACCTAACCGCGCAGGTTTCTAGACTTTGTATCTAGGTTTCATTGTCTTATATGATTGTTCATGCCTTATTTCTCCTTATTCCTCATTGAGTTTGGTTATTAGAGTGTCTTGATTGCGTTTGGAACAGGTCAGGAGTTATTTTTTCAAAATGGTTCATGCCTAGATTTTTTCTTCTTCACTCAAGCAACACTTCTTGCGCTTGAACGGTCTTTGAGAACTCTTACTACTTTTGTGGGCTTGTAGAGATACTGGGAGTTGGCATGCTACGCTCGAGCGATGTTGGCTCGAGCAGTCCTTCTTGAGCTTGAGCGATGGTCCTCTATCTGTAAAACTTTTGGGAGTTTGTATTCTTCCCTCAAGCGATAAACTTCTTTACTTGAGCGGTCTTACTTATTGTGTCTGGTCGCTCGAGCAATACTTCCTTTGCGCGAGTAGTTTGCTCGTATATCAGTTTATAAAAGTCACTTTTTGGCTTACTTTTTCATATCTCTCTCTCTCTAAACATTCTAAAAACCCTAGTTCTGCTTCTCTATCTAAAACTCACATTTTTTCTACAAATACACCCTCATCCATTGATTTCACAACCTTAGTCCCTTTGTTAAAAAGGTAAAGCTCATCTAGAGCTTCGTTCTAATCAGAAGAAAGGTGGGTTTCGGCATTTTTAAAGTTTGTCCACTCTCTCTCTCTCTTGTCTTCTAAGCTTGAGGTAGGGATTTCTCCACACTTTCTTATGATTTTTAACTTAGCTATTTGTGTCTTGAAATAATATTATGATTTGGAGATTTTTGAACAAATCTTGGGTTTTGGCTTAAAACTCAAATTAGGGGTGTAGACACCTCATTTTGACTGCCCTTAAGACTTATGCGTCTCATGTTGAACACTCAATGATAAAATGTTACGCTGTACAAATTGTTCAATTTCTTCAGCAAAAGGCTTCGATTTTTAAGCTTTAAAGCCCGAACCATGTACCTATTTTGAACCAAAACCTAATTTTTTTTTCCAACCTAAACACTCAGAGACCTGTTGGCCAACAGGTGGCTGGCAGGCCATTTTTGGCTGGTCGATCGTCTAACTACCCCCTATGTGCATGCCTTGCACCAGCTGGCTCAATATAGCTGTGTCCAACAGGGGAACCTGTTTTTCTATAAATAAATGACCATCCCTTATGGTTTTAGGTTAGAAAAATTTTCCAAACACTCTCCCTCACTATCTTGCAATATACATACACTTCCTAAACTAAATTTTTGAGATTCTTGCTGAGTTTCTTGAGCCAAATTCTTAGCTTTTGAGGGTGATCACCTTATGGTTTGTGAACCAAAGAACATCCTCTCTTCAAGAGGTATAAGTTTTGCCATCTTTACACTACTCTTTCCTTCTCTTTTCTTGCTATTTTTCACACTATTTTGGACTATTTTTGTAGGCTGAAACTTGTGATTTAAAAGCTACCAAAGGTGGAAGGGTTAACCACCCTTCCTCGAACCTTATTCCATAGCTTATATCCTTGTGTTTCCCATTTGTTTCTTTACTTTTAGCTACTGAGTTTCAGAGTTTTCAGAGGCTAAAACATGTGATTTTATGGTCCAAAAAGTGGAGGGGTTAGTCACCCTTCCGTAGGGTTGCTTACTAGCTTTGTTTTCTTCTTTTTTGTTTTACTTTTCCTAGCTTTTCAAACTGATTTTTCAGCACTTTATAATTTTTGTTTTTTGGGGTCTTTACTTTTAGCTACTGAGTTTCAGAGTTTTCAGTGGCTTAGTTCATGCTTTGAATATTATGCTTGTATTGTTGCAAGTCGCTATAGATTTTGTGGTTTAGGCCTTAGACACCAATCTATTTGAGTTAATAACTTTATTCCATAGTTTTCATACATATACTGACACTTGTAATAATCAGCTCTGCAATCTCCCTCCTTTCTTGGTTTTCTTTGGTTAAGAGTTATATGAAACAATTGATTATTGTTTAAGGCATGAGAAAAGAGACCTTCCATGCTTAATGGTTTAATCTCTTTGGAGGTACATTACCAGGGCATTACATCTCTCTCATGCTAATCACAACTTCTTGTTTGACACTTCTCTTTATTAGTGGACGTAATTATCACTTTTGGACAAGACGAATAAAAAATGACAAGGTAATATAAAAGAGGTTAAAATTGGAAAAAAAAGTGGTAAAAAGTGTAATAAAATTGATTTGGGTTCAATTGGACGTCATATTGAACCCATTGATTCTTGAATCATTACATACTCTTTAGTGATGTTAATGATTCAAGAAGCAATGTCTACCACTTCCCTTGAGGTAACTCCATGATAAGGAGGAGGTGTTGTTAGTCTTTTATGTCCATTTATTGATCTTTTGTCCTATCGGTTCATAGATCATCATGCAACAACTTTGCCACTATTGATGATTTGTGAATCGAGTTTACTCTTCTCTTGATCAATTTCATGATAGAGATAGGCAAAAAGGATAAACATCCCCTAGGAATACTCTGTTTTTGTTTTGTTTTAATTCTGTGACAGCAGAGCATTACCCAAAAACAGTGGCCGGCCAGCCACCTTTTTGTGCATGCTGTGTCATTTTGGTGGCAGGAGGGTGTTCTCGGTTGTGCGCTCGGGGTTAATCGCTTCCCATTTCATTAATTTAGTGCTTTAATATTAGTGTGTTGTAATTAATTCCAATGTGTAATAATTAGTTAAATTAGCTTATTAATTTATTCGGTTTGTAATAATTAGTTTAATTAGGACATTCATTCGAACCCTCACGTGTGAGGGCAAACTTATAATATTATGTATGTCTTCCAACCCCCATTTCTTTCTCCATTTTATTTACATGCTTGTTGTGGTAATATCATATTTTTCGTTTCCTATCATTGACTTGTATTGTATCCATTTTTTGCATGCATTAGGTTCGGTTTATCATTCTAACATTGTTGTTATTTCCTACTTACATGAATAAGTGCACTATTCCATGCTTTGAGTTGAGCCATATGTCATGTTAAATAACTGAACCTAGTAGTTGCATTTTGTATGTGTTGCATTACTCACTTGCATATTAGAGCATGCATTTTTCTAACTACTTTTTTTTTTTTGGCTTGCCTCGGTTGATCACTAGGTGAGCATTTATTACTTTAGCATATTGCATGTGTGCTAGTGTTTCCATATCAAACATATTACCATAAGGCTAAGTGCTTATTTGATATATCTCTTGAATGCCGGTAGGTGAAGGCTTTTTCGCCTAAGTTGGGATGATTTGATAAATGTACATATGAGCTCGCTTTTTCAAGTGGCACATATTCAAAATTCTTTTCAAACAAACATGAAATCAAAGCATTCCAAAGTGGGCAACTTAGTCTATACTTGTGTGCCTCACCTAGTAAAGTTAGCATAATAATCAGAACAAGAGCATATATTGTACATAAAAATCACATCATGATTAGTAGAGGTTGATCTTTGATTGG